TTCATTATTATTCTGATATCTTCATTATTATTCTTATATCTTCATTATTATTCTGATATCTTCATTATTATTCTGATATCCTCATTATTATACTGATATCCTCATTATTATACTGATATCCTCATTATTATTCTGATATCTTCATTATTATACTAATATCCTCATTATTATACTGGTATCCTCATTATAATACTGATATCTTTATTATTTATACTGATATCTTCATTATAATACTGATATCTTCATTATCATTATAATTCTGAATTAAATCATTATCATCATACATTTGTTTCTACGTAAAAATTCATAAGCAGATCCTTCACAAAACTATAACTTTAGAAATTAGTACCTGCTATTAACCGTTTTGATTTCGTGGAGCATTTGAGCCGCGTCACGACAAAATCAACATAATGGGTTTGCGGACCAGCACTGGATCTAGTACACCAGTACCTGCGCGATCACCATAATAGCTGACCAATAGATCAATCCACGGCTTCTGATTCAGATCCATGCTGGTTGGCTATCAGTTTCTCTACTTGTTCAAGGTTTGTAAGCACAAGCAGAGAGTCTGATGAGGTCCATGCTGGTTTTTGCTTACAACCTTATAAACAAGTAGAGAAACTGATAGCCAACAGCATGGATCCTGATCAGACTGCGTGGATTGGATCCATGCTGGTCAGAAACTCATTATGTTGGTTTTGTTGTGACCCGGCTCATTTGTTTTAATGAACACGAACAGTTTACAACTTAAAATAAAGAATAGGAAAATAATTACATCTGCAATTATATAATATCATTTGCAATACCATACGGGGTGAATTGATCCGAGGTCGGTTTAAGAAAACTAAACGATATTATGGCCTCATACTTTGGGTAAAATAGCTTTTAAAATTTCTTCCAAAACGGTTTATGTCCTTTTTGAAAAAATGAGAATTTGGGGAGCTTGGCACTCCTATTAAATGTTATCGTCGAGTGGGCCTCCCTTAAAAAAGGGAAAGTAACACCAAAAACCGCTATTTTTAACAGATCAACAAAAGACACATTTCAGATCTTTTTGATTGAGGGAAGACCTCAGGTGTCCCTTTGTCCCTTTATTACAGGTATAGTAATAGGTGTCCCTTTGTCCTTTAATACAGGTATAGTAATTAGAGCAAAGATGTATCCATGGATGGTAATGAAACGTAACCTTGTAAAATGTTACACCCACTCATGTGATCACTTTATAAGAAAACAGAAAAACTTGTTTTTAAGCCGCCGCATTTTCAAAATAATAATTTATATGTATGCTACCTGATTTATGATCAAATTGAATTTCATCACAAAGTCAATGTCTCATTCCTAGTACAGTAACATTATTGATGTACTGGCAGCTTAGTCTTTGCTGTATATAAAAATAGTCGGAAATAATTTTTAACAAGATTTATACCCCAACTTGTTCTGTTAGAGAGGAAAAACAAATGATACACAAATCAATTTTGTACAATCTTTTTTTAAGAAAAGTCACACATTCATGCTATCAAAACCAATCAAACAAACATGATTTATTTTTAAAATACTACATTAATAACAAAAACAGTAATAATAACAATTCTCTCTATGAAACGTCCATGATAAAGATCATATACTGAATAACTGTTTTCCATAAAAATTTCAAGTTTTAAACAGACATGTTTAATATATAAGCATATATATATTTGACATATTCCAGCATGATTTTTTCTTAACTTTCATATAGAATTGTTTAAGCATAAATAAACATGGCCAAAATATATGTGTTATCAAGTACATGTAATTTAAGGTTTATAAATGTACTAGATGGATTTAATCATACAATATTCACTAAACAGACATTTAGTTAATATATAATGTACAATCGACATAACATATTACAGCATGAACTTATCTTAACTTCATATAAAATTGTTTATGCATAAACATGGACAATATAGATTTGTTATGAGAACATGTAAATTGTATTTTTACAAATATACTAGAATTATAAAATCTATATTCCAAGTCACAAACAAACATGTCTGATGCATGTGTTCACAAGACATAACAAATCTAAGCATGAAATAAAGATAAACATTCATATATCTAGTTAAAAATTATGTAATAACATCTTTATGTAATTATATGTTTACTTATATACCAGATGAATTTACTCTACATATACATTTAAAGTTTAAAGGCACATTTCGCCTCAGAAATGAATATATTTTTATTTTTGTAAAAGGGCCAATATTTGTTTTATAATGTTGTAATAATATATTTAGAAAAAGTGATATTCTTATCACCTGTCAAAAAATTTAGTTTGTTAATAGAGATGCAAAATGTAAAAAAAAATGTAATTTGACTTCCATATATAATACTTATTCACCATACTTGTACTAGTTGCTAAAATGCAAAAGAAACAAAAGTTGGCTTAGATATATGGCCAATGAAAAACGTTTTGGACACCAAAAACATAAACTTTTGAAAAATAACTATGCATTTTTTAAGCTTAATGGGCCTTTAAATCAAACATGAATAAATGCAAAAGAAACAAATTATGGCTGTGCTATATGGACAATGAAAAACTCTTTGGACACAAAAAAAATAAGCTTTTGAAAAATAAAAGGGAGTGCATTTTTTTAAGGCTTAATGGGCCTTTAAGGCAAACAAGTATAACATTTTAAAATGGAAGTATAGTTACATGTCACAAAACCTTTCTTTATATAAAATAATATTATCTTATTTTCATCAAAGAATTGCAATAGCATGTAAACAACAAACATGTATTAACATGAAATAATATGTTTACATTATGTACTAGATACATTCAATCAGAATTCGTGTAACAAACAGACATATGTAACAAAGAAAAACATGTTTGATGCATATGTTCATAAGGCATAACATATTGAAACATGAAATAAACATAAACATTCATATATTAAGTAAACAATGACAAATCTTCATATAATTATATGTTAATTATATACTAGATGAATTTACACTACAAATACTTTTAAAATTTAAAAGACATATTACGCCTCAGAAATGATTAAATATTTCATATTTGTAGAAAGGGCAAATATGTGTTTTAAAATGTTCTAATAATAGATTTGCAACATGAGATATTCTTATCACCTGATGGGTTTGAAAAGAAAAAATGATTTGTGTTATAAAATGTAAACAAAATGGTTATTTCATATCTATATAAAATACTTATTTATCATAACTGTACTAGTTGCTAAATTGCAAAAGAAACATATGATGACTCAGATATATGGCCAATAAGAAACTTTTTGGACAGAAAATTAAAGTTGATTGCATTTTTTAAGGCTTAATGGGCCTTTAAAGCAAACGGGTATAATAGTTTAAAATGTACGTTTAGTCACATGTCACAAAACCTTTCTTTATATAAAATAATATTATCTTATTTTCATCAAAGGATTGCATAAGCATGTAACTATACAACAAACATGTATTAACATGTAATAATATGTTTACATTATGTACTAGATACATTCAATCAGAATTTCATGTTTCAAACTTTCATGTAACAGACATGTGTAAACTATATTTATATATAACATATCTTAATTTTGGTATATACTAAAATCAGCAAGCATAAAAAACTAACATACCTATAATAAAATGTAGTTATATCTTTACTGTCTGAAAACATTTAATATATATTTTAGCATTGTCGGAACCCATACGTACAGATTTGGCTGAACTACATTCATCACGAATGAAGTGTATTCATAACCAGTATGCTTTAATTACCCAGGATGCATTTTAAGACAGTATATTACAACATATCTTTTTAGTTATTTCATGTAACATATGTTTTACAATACATGTAAACTAACATATCATAATTATGTTAACATCAGCAGAAATATAACTTATGTATGCCTATAATGTTATAATGTCTTGGTACTAAAATATGACCAATTGATTAATTAAAAAGTTCTAATTGAACCGTTACATAAATTATCTATGAACATAAATATCTGATAGTATATAACTTTATAAAATATGGCTGTCTGTGTGAAAGAGCATATTGACATCCGAGAGCTGGTATATATCCCTCAGGTATAGCTGAGACTTATTATATTCCTGCACTGACTTATGATGAAAACTGGAATACATCCCCCACTGGGGGTAGTCGAGAATTTATATATATCCCCCAAGGGGCAGTCAAGAACAGGTATAAACCATGCCGAGAACTTATCCGAGGAGTAGCTGAGAACTTGTTTTTATCCCCGTGGGGCACCTGTGAACTGGTATATATCCCCAAGGGGCAGCAAGAACTGGTATATATCCCTGAGGGACAGCTGAGAATTGGTATATATCCCTGAGGGACAGCTGTGAACAGGTATATATCCCTGAGGGACAGCTGTGAACAGGTATATATCCCTGAGGGACAGCTGAGAATTGGTATATATCCCTGAGGGACAGCTGAGAACTGGTATATATCCCTGAGGGACAGCGAGAACTGGTATATATCCCCAAGGAACAGCAAGAACTGGTATATATCCCTGAGGGACAGCTCAGAATTGGTATATATCCCCAAGGGGCAGCTGAGAACTGGTATATATCCCTAAGGCACAGCTGAGAACTGGTATATATCACCAAGGGGCAGCTGAGAACTGGTATGTATAAGGAAAATCAATGACCCCCCCCCCTATTTTTGACCCCTGGGAATTTATTTGAACAAACTTGGTAGACACTGACTAGACAATGTTTCATGCCAAATATTTAAGTTTTTCTATAAGAAAACTTTTATGTTTTTTTCTTTCGGTTGCCATGGCAGCCAGAGTTCTGTATGGAATAAAATTTTGAAGAATTTTTAAAGTTGACTACCAAAGGAACATTCTTGTGAAGTTTTAATGAAACTGGCTTAGCGGTTTATGAGGAGATGTCGTTTAAAGTAAAAATTTACGCCGGTCGGACGCCGGACAAAAAGCGATCACAATAGCTCACTATGTCACTTTGATTTGTGACAGGTGAGGTGAGCTAAAATTCATATTTACATCTATGGTGTATAACATGTTTTGATTAAAAATTATGTTATACTGTCTATGTAGTTACAGTATATACTAGTACATATAAATTTACAGCAAGGTATATCTATACTTGCCTAGTGTTTAAAATTATCATTCTAACATAAACAACAAAGAGTTCACTTAAAGGAGCTCCACTGAGGTCAAACAATAAAGAATAAAAATAGAAAAGCCAAAACTGATTAATCGGGATATTCAATAAGGGAAAAAATGATACTAAAGAAATATACTCGGAATAAAATTGAAAATCGATATTAATGAAGTGTAATTTTCAGACGGACTTTAGCTATAAACATTTAAACACTGTCGACAGGACATTGTGCTTGACTATCCACAGTGATGGATAATGCAGAATTTTCTAACTTCAAAAAGGGAAATAATTCTGTCAAATATCTATGTGCTCGGACAGTGACTTCCTATTACTCTCATATATGTGTGTGAAGTTCTAATCCACTCTTATACGTAAAAACTTAACCAAGATTTTTTAAGTCGTAAAAGGGGAATAAATATGAGGAAAAAAATATCAGAGGTATGGGATTTGTGTTAGTCATGTTAAAGAACAAGAATGTCAATTGAAATTTTCATTCAGTAGTTTTTTAGATACCAACTTGCACACATAAAAGTAACCTAAGTTTGACGCCAATGCGGTAAGTACTATTATAGCATTAGCTATTCATTGAATAGTCGAGCTAAAATGATTACTAGTATTTTGGAAAAACAAAGTGAGCAAATAATCTGAAATTTTGCATACAAATTTTATACATGAAAAATAATATATCTTCTTCAAATAGTATGAAACCTCAACAACATAACTCCCGTCCTATCATGTCAAGAAATTAAGAAAATATTATCCTCAGTGGAGACCCTTTAACGATACTGTTTGAATAATACTGACTAACAGTATTAACTTGTACACATTTATGGTTTTCCATAATTACAATTTGTAAATTTTTACAATCTTTACAATATAAAACAATCAAAGAAGGAATCTCTAAAATATAACATGTAAATGGTCCTCATCTCAATGAAACAATTTACTTGTCCTATATATCATCTAACAGGTATTTATATATACCATTCCATTGTCCTATATATCATATAACTGGTGTTGATATAAATAATTCCATTGTCTAAATATTGTATAACAGGAATTTACATATAACATTCCTTTGCTTTATATAACATATAACTGGTATTCATTTATACCATTCCATTTTCCTTTACATCTTATAACTGGTATTGATATATACCATTTCCTTTGCATATTTAACATACGAGGGCTGTTCAAAAAGTTCGTGGACTGCGGCTCTACTGTTCACATCTTTTAATTTGTGTACATGATTTTACAAGAGACATATACGAAAATATGTCCTTATTTAACAGTGAAAAAATCAATACAATTTGTTTACAAATAACAATTCTGTGATAGTTACAAATCACAAGGGGTGCACAATCCGGCGCACGCTGATGACGAAACAAAATGACGTTTGTGACGTCGCAATATAAATGAAACATTTTACCAGCGACATTGTTTCTTTTTAGTGTTCAGTATCTGCGGATCATATACCAAAACCATTTTTCTGTGCGTGATGATGACCCTAGATATAAAGTGGTTCATCTTTTCGCTCCATTCTCAGTATAAAGGTCCGAGTGCCGCATACTTTTCGCTCTTTATCGGGATTTTTGAGTTATTTCGACACTTAACGGACAGTGTTATTAAGTTAAATTCAATTGTTGATTTATAGTATCAATTTGAAACCGCCCTCGTCCTATCTTTAAACGATATGATTATCAATGATAAAGAAAAACATTTTATCAACTGACAATTATTTTATGCGGTAAATCTACTGAATACCGGTTAGCATTAATTATCAAACGGACCAGAGTAAATACACGTAAAACAAAAAATAACTACAATTATTTATTGTTAATACGCATATATCCTGGTGAATGAAATAACATGTTATTTTAATTAAATTAAATTGTTTTGTCAGAATTGAATGCAAAGATCCGATGCAGAAATTTAATATGTCGGACATCTCGCAAACCTTTCATACTGTCTGGACTTCTGTAGATCTTTTGCAATTGACGTTACAAACGTCCCAACAATTTCCCGCTAAAAATTCTCCGTCGCCCTTTCTGTCTGTGAGCATGTATTTGCCGTATTTAAATCCTTTGCTCGACCCGAAACTAAGAGACTTGCTCGCCAACCTATTGTTATTAGTTAATTTAATCACCTAATAAAACTATGAAGGAGTATCCCACATTTATTGGTTAAAATTTCCGAAAGAGCAAATTTCTAGTTTTTAAACGGGCTTTATACTCCCCAACATACCCGTCTGTCTACTACTGCTCAAAACCTGTTTGTTCAGCTATACAACGTCCAATCGACGTCAAATTTCAGAATTATGTCATTTACATACTATAAGATGATTACTTGTAATTTACTTCATAAAACAATCATTCAATTTGTTTCAACATTTGTTTATATTTAACCCATTACTTCATATACACGCCTTTTAACGCCTTTTTCACCCCCCCCCCTTTTTGTTGTCTCAAATGATGAAAAAATGCCTTATTTAGGCCCCAAACACTTGTTTTTGTTTGAGAAATGTTGTTAAAAAAAGTGACCTCTTTTTCGGCGCGGCCCCCCAACCAAAAGATACATCAGGGGGTTGCCAGAAGGGGGATGTGCCCCCTTCTGTTTGGGGGGGGTTTGAAGGGGGGCGGAGTCCCCCTCATCGCCAAGAAAATTTTGGACTTGTGAGAGGCTGTAAATGACCCCAGATTGATCATAAGGTAACGTGTAACCAACGCTGAAAAGCATTTGACTCTATCTCAATCCATTGAGAAGTTGCAGCACTTTGAAATCAATTTTGATGGAAAAAATCAACGCAAAATAGTGATTTTTGGCAATTTTGAGATGTCCCCTCGTTGCCATGGTAACAGAAAATTTTAGCCTGAGCATGTTGTTGCAAGGGCAATGGTCCAATCAACATTTGTGCCAAGTTTGATTAGTGTTGAAGCAGTTTTTATAGTATTATAGCAATTTGAATTTGAACTTGTAACGGGAGACTTTTCAATGAAAACAGCCATTTTTCACAAAATGCTCATGAAGCAATGGGTTAAACATTATATGAAAATTTCGGCGTGCGCCGATGTTGCCTTGCCATGGTTATTAAAGTGCAATTAACTCGTAAAAGAAACAAAAGTTTACAATAAAAGTAAATCTTACTTTTAGAAATAAAGACACTCTTTCGATTCATATCCACTAAGGGTGTTTTTATGAACCAAGTAAAAAATGACAGCAAAAATCCACGAACTTTTTGAACATACCTCGTATAATATACATATATGGTATTTTTATATACCAAACACTTGTCCTATATATCATATAACTGGTATTTATATATACCATTCCCTTGTCCTAAATGTCATATTATTGGTATTCATATAAATCATACCATTCCCTTGTCTTATATTATATCATATAACTGGTATTGATATATACCATTCTCTTGAAATATTTCTCATATAACTGGTAATTACATATACCATTCCCTTCATATATTATATAATATAACTGGTATTTGAATGTTATATTTATTTTTTTCCTTTTTCTACCTTGTACATTAAATTTCTGTTCCATGATATTTCCATTCAAATTACTTATTATATTTACTTATTCATTAATTTATTTACTTGCTAATCTATTCATCCATTTATGTATTTATAATTCAAAGAACCTACTACTTTTTCAAATTGTACTTTTCACAAACTATCCCTGATCTTTAAAAAACAGTTACCTATATTTTCTTTATATTTCACTTCATCTCTTTCATTTACTTATTTGAATACACATTTGAATATTACTTTTATCAATTGTTTTTGCTGATAATGTTTATTTTAATAATTATGTCTTTTATCATGAAATAATATAGATCAAGCACTATGTTAACTGCATGTATTCTATCTCACTATGTTAAAAAATCAGATAATTTTCTTTTGTCGAAAATGAAAAACCAAATTATCATCTCTTTTAATAATTTAGTTTAAACACTTCATGTATTCTAAATTGATACTTTTATCCCCTTTTTGTTGAAAATTCAAACCTATAATCATCATGTTTAACAAGAAATAACTGATCCTGGTATTTTACATACTGTTTAGCATCATTTCCCTTCTCTCCTCCAAGTCCTTGTGGTGTCAATTTAAACATATCATCATTATCCTCCTCACCATCTCCTGTTATATAACATTCCACTACACTCACTTCAACAGTATGAGGAATATGAGGAAGACTATCAACAAACTTTTGCCATGTTGTCAAACTCATTATTACATTATAAAGCTTAATGTTCTTTAAACTCTTCATCTCTAAAGGTGACTGTATTATATTGTCAGTTAACCTACACCGCCATAACTTAAACTTACTGAGATTGTGTAACAATGGTAATACTGTGACTAGTCTCTTTGTCATGTTGGTATGATATAATTGAGATTCATTGCTGTAATCTCCATCCAATTCAAGTTCTTTTAATTTGTTAGATTTTCTAATAATATCAAATATTTTCTCATAATTACTATCTTTCAATTCATCAAATTTAAATATTTCAAGGTTTGTAGTATCAGCATCTATCACACTAACAGCATTATACAAATGAAGGTACTGAAGTTGTTGATGTTTTGATAAATTTACATCATGCTGCTTCCTACACTCACATTCAACACTATAAAGATGTATTTGTTCAAGATGACTGGTTCTCTCAAGAAAATTACAAAATGTAGTAGTATCATCATGACTCATTGTTATATAACTCATACTTATTGCTACAAGATTGATCATACTAGGTAGGTAACTAACAACTGTTTTACACACTGGGTAATACTTGTCAGTGTAAGAGACATCAAGAGACAGAGATTTTAATGTTGAAGTATTTACTTTAATTGTCTCAGAAACACAATTGCTAATCTCATCAATCAACTCATTATTCTGTGTACTATCACTTTGTTTACTTGAAAACCTTTGTGATATACGGTCATATGTTATTTCAATTTTTTCAAGATGATGAAACATTGGTAAATATTTGGTAAATTTAACATTGTTTGTGTTGATGTCATCTACATTAATAGACAGAACAGAGTCAGGAACAATTTGATCAATACCTGAACAAACAATATCACAATACTGATCCTGTCTACCAATGACCAAATCTCCTATATAAAACACAGGATTACTTCCTATACTACATGTTGCATTGAATTCTTCCATTAACTCAAACATAAGCTTTTGAATATCAGTAATAAAACGATGGTGCACATGATCCCTATAAATGTTACATTTTATTGTTGTCCTGTATTCCTGAACACGAGAGTCTTCTGACACAGTATCATATATGTATTTTGAAACATGTGTTGCTAATCTAGATTCTAGACCACATAGCATAATGATGACATTTGACTGCTCTAATATGTCATTTACTGTTAAACTTTTCTGAAAAACCTCATCAATAAACTTTTTGGCTAATTCAACATTTCCTGTACTATCTGACAAACCAATTTTTGCATTGAAATTGATACCAATATTCACTGCAGCCAGAAATTCTTGCATTGATTTGTGAATAAAAGAGAACAATGAGCTTGGTGGTTCTGATACAGATAAACTTGGACATTCATCTTCTGTAATTATTCCAAGTTTCAAGCAATTTTCTCTTACTTCATCTGATATTTCTAGTTCATCAAACATAGAAATGTCAAATGTCAAAGATTTATCCTTTGGACAATTAAACAGTGTCTCATAAGCCAACTTTGACACATGATAAATGAGATGGCTGTTTAATTTTAATATGTTTTTATCAGCTAAGGTTTTAGGAAGATCTACTTTCTGAGCACCCTCCATAACTCGAGTACATGTTCCTGTAGTTTTCATGTCATTCCAGGTAAAGAAAAGTTCTAACATACCGGTGTAGATGGCACATTTTGAGATTTTATCGAGTTTACCATCAAACCATAGACAAATCAGTTGCTGCAACATAATTGGTACCTGTTTTAAACTTTCCAGAGACTTTTCTCTTAGCTTTCGTTCACAAAACCAGGCAATTTTTCTAGCATGCCTGCTGGAATTTAATTGAGAGACTGTTCTATCTACCATTTCCCTTTCACATCTCAAATCAAACCCTTTCAGATTCAGTAATTGTTCAATTTCTGTCTCACTTATTCCTAAGGTGTGAATTTTCCATGGCCGTGATGTAGTTATGATTGCATAGTCTTTATTAACATCCTGTTTCGGGAGACCCATTGTCTGGAACTGATTGTAGGATTTCCTTTCAGAAGACCATTCATCTAAGCCATCAAGCAATATTATAATCTTTGCAGAGTCCTTTTTGAGAACTGGGCTTGAAATGTCAATATCATACTGATTTTTAATCATATCCTGGACACTGTCTATGTCTTGATTATGTCTTAGGGAGATATAAAACATGATATCAAATTTCTTCATTTCCTTGACTCCTTCAAACTTATCATCTACATTTTGTGCATCACTGTGTGCAATACACCAACAGTTGACCAAATATTTACAGAAACTACTCTTACCAGACCCTGCATCTCCAAGAACATATATATGTTTCAAAGGCACACCATTCTTTATGAAGATTTCTGACATTGACTTGACCTCAATCTCCTTTGTCTCCCCTTTCTCTCCTTTTATTTCTCTTGTTATAGTGGGCCTAACATAAATCTCACTGAAGTTACATTTCTGACCTCGTGGTAGTAAAGGCATTGCTGGTACTTTTAGCAAATTCTTACAGTATGATGCTATCATCTCTTTCTGCCATTCTAAAATTATAATATAGTATAACATTAATCTGTTAACACACAAATGAGTGACTCACAGATTTATAATAAACCATAAACAAACAAAACAATTACCCTTGGCAAACTATAACATATTAGGCTAAAAGTAACCTAGGAGCTGTTTTGTTGCTAAATTGACTATAAGAATGAAAAGATCAACAAGAAACATGGCAATGCCATGAAACCAGGTTTTCAATTATCACCATTATAGATAAATATGTTGTATTTGAAATACAAATACAAGCAACAAACAATGTAACTATGTGCAATGTAAAACATGAATAATGTAGGAGGAATTGCCACAGAGGAAGTGTTCACTATAATTATATTCTGTATAAGGAAAAAAAAAGCAAAGGGCCATAATTAAATAAAAAATTATTCAATCACAAAACCCTGACAATATGCGCCAGGGCACTGGATGACAAAGCTACTGTGAAAGTTTGAACAAAATCTGTGAGAAATGTAGGAGTTCAGCACAGAAGAATTTTTTCACTATATATTCTGTATAAGGAAAAATAACAAAGGGCCATAATTAGGTCAAATATTATCCAATCACAAAACCCCGATAATGTGCCCCAGGGCACTTGATAACAAAGCTACTGTGAAAGTTTGGTCAAAATCTGTTGAGAAATGTAGGAGAAGTTGCGCATGTTAAAAATTGTTCACTATATAATATGGATAAGGAAAAAAAACAAAGGGCCATAATTAGGTCAAATATTGTACAATCACAAAACCCTGACAATATGCCCTAAGGCACTTGATGACAAAGCCTCTGTGAATGTTTGGTCAAATTCCGTTGAGAAATGTAGGAGGAGTTGCGCACAGAAAATTGTTCACTATATATCCTATATTGGGAAAAAAAAACAAAGGGCTATAATTAGGTCAAATATTATCCAATCACATAACCCCGACAATATGTGCCAGGGCACTTGATGACAAAGCCTCTGTGAAAGTTTGGTCAAAATCCATTGAGAAATGTAGGAACAGTTGGGCACAGAAGAAATTATTCACTATATATCCTATATTGGGAAAAAAACAAAGGGCCATAATTAGGTCAAATATTATCCAATCACAAAACCCCGACAATATGCGCCAGGGCACTTGATGACAAAGCCTCTGTGAAAGTTTGGTCAAAATCCATTGAGAAATGTAGGAACAGTTGGGCACAGAAGAAATTATTCACTATATATTCTATATAAGGAAAAAAAACAAAGGGCCATAATTAGGTCAAATATTATCCAATCACAAAACCCCGACAATATGCGCCAGGTCACTTGATTACAATGCTTCTGTGAAAGTTTGGTCAAAATCCGTTGAAAAATGTAGGAGGAGTTGCGCACAGAAGAAATTGTTTACGCCCGCCCGCCCGTCCGCCCGCCGACATACCTCAATCTAATAACCAGTTTTTTCCTTCGGAAAACCTGGTTAAAAATTGAAGAATGCTCTTACCACATGTATGCTGTTATATAATCATAATTAGTTAAATGATCAACTATAATGTCATGGCTTTAATACATGTATATCACTATTATGACTACACATGTTACTAAATATAGAAACAAGAAATGTCGAACAACACATATGCTGCCCTTTCAAGCCCTTGACTCACATTATTGGTTATTTTGTTATAGAAACTTGCGATAAATGGGTACATGGAAGTGTTCAGTTATGAAACAAGAGGGCCATGATGGCCCTGAGGTCGCTCACCTGTATATAGGCCCCCCACCCCCGGGCCAATTTTTACGCAAGGGATTTTATTTGTTTATTTGAACAGACTTTGTAGACACCCATAAGAAGATGTTTCATGCTAAACATCTAAGTTCTAGCTCATTGGCTTTTTTAAAAGAAGATTTTTAAAGTTTTTACTATACACATATAGTTAAAAACAATGACACCCCTGGGGCAGGGCCAGTTTTGACCCCTGGGCGTTTATTTTAACAAACTTTGTAGATATTTACTTAAAGATGTTTCATGCTTAATATCTAAACTCTAGCTATTTGGGTTTTTCCAAAGAGATTTTTAAGTTTTTGCTATACACATATAAGGAAAATCAATGACCCCCCCCCCTGGGCGGGGCCAGTTTTGACCCCAGGGCTTTTATTTGAACATACTTGGTAGACACCCATTAGAACATGTTTCATGCTAAATATCTTAGCTCTAGCTCTTTGAGTTCTTTAAAAGAAGATTTTTTAAGTTTTTACTATATGCATATAGGGAAAATCAATGACCCCCTGGGGCGGGGCCAATTTTGACCACAGGGCTTTTATTTGAACAAACTTGGTAGACACTCATTAGAAGATGTTTCATGCTAAATATCTTAGCTCTAGCTCTTTGGGTTCTTTAAAAGAAGATTTTTTAAGTTTTTACTATACGCATATAGGGAAAATCAATGACCCCGGGGCGGGGCCAATTTTGACCACAGGGCTTTAATTTGAACAAACTTGGTAGACACTCATTAGAAGATGTTTCATGCTAAATATCTTAGCTCTAGCTCTTTGGGTTCTTTAAAACAAGATTTTTTAAGTTTTTACTATACGCATATAGGGAAAATCAATGACCCCGGGGCGGGGCCAATTTTGACCCCAGGGCTTTAATTTAAACAAACTTGGTAGACACTCACTAGAAGATGTTTCATGCTTAATATCTTAGCTCTAGCTCTTTGGGTTCTTTAAAAGAAGATTTTTAAGTTTTTACTATATGCATATAGGGAAAATCAATGACCCCCATGGGCGAGGCCAATTTTGACCCAAGGGCTTTTATTTGAACAAACTTGGTAGACATTCACTAGAAGATGTTTCATGTCAAATATCTAAGCTCTAGCTCTGACAGTTCTTTAAAAGAAGATTTTTTAAGTTTTTACTATATGCATATTGGGAAAATCAATGACCCCCATGGGCGGGGCCAATTTTGACCCCAGGGCTTTTATTTGAACAAACTTGGTAGACACTCACTAGAAGATGTTTTATGCCAAATATCTAAGCTTTTAAAAGAAGATATTTAAAGGTTTTTCTTTTGGTTGCCATGCTGCATGGAAATAAATTCTTTGAACAATTTTTAAAGGTGACCACCAAAGGAACATTCCTGTGAAGTTTGGATGAAATTGGCTCAGTGGTTTATGAGGAGATGTCATTTAAAGCAAAAGTTTACGGACGGACGGACGACGGACAGACGGACGCCGGACGAAAAGCGATCACAAAAGCTCACCCTGTCACTTTGTGACAGGTGAGCTAAAAAAGAAACAAGAGGGCAATGATGGCCCTGAGTCGCTCACCAGAAACAACTGCTTTTCAGTGTTGGAATGTTAATATTAAGAGGATATTTTTTCGTTTGAGTGAAATATGGAATATATTTTCACGAAACATGATAAAATGCCACATATTTTCACGAGCCGGGACGGCGAGTGAAAATATGTGGCATTTTATCATGTTGAGTGAAAATATATACCATATTTCACGAAAAACGAAAAAATAACCTTTTTATTTAATTTCATTATCAAAGAAAAATGGTTACAAACCCTATTGCTTGCTACGCAACTGCAATTGTACAGCGCGCAGTAATATATTATTGCGTCTTGTTTTGCACGCGATATTTGGCGCTACATTGTGACGTCACGTAAACAACTGTTTAAACGTCTGTATAGCGTTAATAACTGAATTAAAGATATTGGTGTTCGGATTAATTTTCTTAGTTAGACCATTTTCTATCATTCTAGATAGTTTTCAAAGCAAAATTCAACAAAAAGTTGTTTTTTATTTATCAGATTTTTCAAACAAAATGGCGAAAGAAGTCCCTTAAAATAAATATGAGTTTTAACTCCGCCCACTTTCATATTTTTATTTCATATTTATTTTTAAAAAATATGAAATATATTTGACTGATATAGCACCATATTTCATGGATAAAATTAAATAATTCCTAATATTAAATTTAAGCATAGAATAAGTTTAAACAATAATTTAAAGAAATGCCATGACCTTGGGCATTTAAGCTTTAGCTTAAACGGGGCTAATCAAATTAATATGAGCAACTTTGATAAAAGACTACCTAAGAATGCTACAGACAAAGTTTGGTGATCATCCATCAATTGGTTTTAAAGTAGATGTTTAAAGGTTTTTCTATTTTTAGCTCGAGTGGCCCTGAAAAGGGGCCAATCAAATTAATGTGAGCAAACTTGATAAATGATTACCCAAAAATGCTACAAAGAAAGTTTGGTGATCATCCATCAATTAGTTCTGTAGAAGAAGATGTTTAAAATTATTTCTATTTTTAATATTATCGGCCCCTTAAAGGGAGCAATCAAATTAATATGAGCAAACTTGATAAAAGACTACCCAATTGAATAATGCTACAGACAAAGTTTGGTGATAATCCATCAATTAGTTCTGTAGCAATAGACGTTTAAACATATTTCTATTTTTAATTTTAGCAGCCCCTATAAGGGGCCAATCAAAATAATATGAGCAAACTTGATAAATGACTACCCAACAATGCTACAAACAAAGTTTGGTGATCATCCATCAATTAGTTCTGAAGCCATAGACATTTAAACATATTTCTATTTTTAATTTTAGCGGCCCCCAAACAGGGCCAATCAAATTCATATGAGCAAACTTGATAAAAAGTACCAAGAATGCTACAGACAAAGTTTGGTGATTATCCATCAGTTAGTTCTGTAGAAGAAGATATCTAAAGGTTTTTTCTATTTTTAGCTATACAGGTCCCTAAAAGGGGCCAATCAAATTAATATGAGCAAACTTGATAAAAGACTACCCAACAATGCTACTGACAAAGTTTGGTAATCATCCATCAATTAGATCTGTAGAAATAAACATGTCAAGGTGTGTACACTATCAAGTTCAACACAAATATTTACTCACCTAACTTGGTTTGCTCATAATTTTGACTTTGACCTGAAGAAGTTTCCGACTTTATTTTTGCTATCTCCTGCAAAAACAACGTATCTTATTTACTCCAATAATTATGGTACAAAAAAAATCAACAATTTATTATTAAGAAGTTGAATTAAAATTCATAGGAGTATGTACTTGATAGTTTACGTGAAGCTATGTACGTTAACATAATAACCACCATAATTGCCCCATTTAATCACTTATGCTAAGTAGGTCATCAGCTCAGAATTTAAATCCTGAAATAATAATTTTGTTTAAACACTTGCATTTCTGAGTGGTAAAAATTTGAAGCCAAATTATCAACATTACAGCTAACATTTAACCATTAAGTATGATCTTCACCATGAGCCATTAGAGCTAACATTATACATTTAAGTATGACCTTCAACATAAGCCATTAGAGCTTACATGTAACCTTTAAGTATTACCTTCACCATGAGCTATAAGAGCTAACATTAAACCTTTAAGTATGACCTTCATCATGAGCAATTACAGCTAACATTCAACCTCTAAGTATGACCTTCACCATGAGCCATTACAGCTAACATTAAACCTTTAATTATGACCTTCACCATGAGCCATTACAGCTAACATTAAACCTTTAATTATGACCTTCACCATGAGCCATTACAGCTAACATGTAACCTTTAAGTATTACCTTCACCATGAGCTATAAGAGCTAACATTAAACCTTTAAGTATGACCTTCATCATGAGCAATTACAGCTAACATTCAACCTCTAAGTATGACCTTCACCATGAGCCATTACAGCTAACATTAAACCTTTAATTATGACCTTCACCATGAGCCATTACAGCTAACATGTAACCTTTAAGTATTACCTTCACCATGAGCTATAAGAGCTAACATGTAACCTTTAAGTATTGCCTTCACCATGAGCTATAAGAGCTAACATTAAACCTTTAAGTATGACCTTCACCATGAGCTATAAGATCTAACATTTAACCTTTAATTGTGACCTTCAACATGAGCCATTAGAACTTACATATAACCTTTATTTATGACCTTCACCCTGAGCCATAGAGCTAACATTTAACCTTTATTTATGACCTTCAACATGAGCCATTAGAGTTAACATTTAACCTTTAAGTATGACCTTCAACATGAGCCATTAGACTTTACATATAACCTTTATTTATGACCTTCACCCTGAGCCATAGAGCTAACATTTAACCTTTATTTATGACCTTCAACATGAGCCATAGAGCTAACATTAAACCTTAAATTATGACCTTCAACATAAGACATTCTACATATGCCATTAGAGCTAACATTAAACCTTTTAGTATGACCTTCACCATGAGCCATAGAGCTAACATTAAACCTTAAATTATGACCTTCAACATAAGACATTCTACATATGCCATTAGAGCTAACATTTAACCTTTAATTATGACCTTCACCATGAGTCATAAGAGCTAACATTTAACCTTAAAGTATGACCTTCACCATGAGCAATTAAAGCTAACATTTAACCTTTCAGTATGACTTCACCATGAACCATTAGAGCTAACATTTAACCTTTAAGTATGACCTTTACCATGAGCCGTTTGAGCTAACATTAAACCTTTAATTATGACCTTCACCATGAGCCATTACAGCTAACATTAAACCTTTAATTATGACCTTCACCATGAGCCATTACAGCTAACATGTAACCTTTAAGTATTACCTTCACCATAGCTATAAGAGCTAACATGTAACCTTTAAGTATTACCTTCACCATGAGCTATAAGAGCTAACATTAAATCTTTAAGTATGACCTTCACCATGAGCCATTACAGCTAACATTAAACCTTTAATTATGACCTTCACCATGAGCCATTACAGCTAACATGTAACCTTTAAGTATTACCTTCACCATGAGCTATAAGAGCTAACATGTAACCTTTAAGTATTGCCTTCACCATGAGCTATAAGAGCTAACATTAAACCTTTAAGTATGACCTTCACCATGAGCTATAAGATCTAACATTTAACCTTTAATTGTGACCTTCAACATGAGCCATTAGAACTTAAATATAACATTTAAGTATTACCTTCAACATAAGCCATAAAAGCTTACATTTAAACTTTATTTATGGCCTTCTACATGAGCCATTAGCGTAACATTTAACCTTTACGTAAGACCTTTACCATGAGCCATTAGACTTTACATATAACCTTTATTTATGACCTTCACCCTGAGCCATAGAGCTAACATTTAACCTTTATTTATGACCTTCAACATGAGCCATAGAGCTAACATTAAACCTTAAATTATGACCTTCAACATAAGACATTCTACATATGCCATTAGAGCTAACATTAAACCTTTTAGTATGACCTTCACCAGGAGCCATAGAGCTAACATTAAACCTTAAATTATGACCTTCAACATAAGACATTCTACATATGCCATTAGAGCTAACATTTAACCTTTAATTATGACCTTCACCATGAGTCATAAGAGCTAACATTTAACCTTAAAGTATGACCTTCACCATGAGCAATTAAAGCTAACATTTAACCTTTCAGTATGACTTCACCATGAACCATTAGAGCTAACAATTAACCTTTAAGTATGACCTTTACCATGAGCCGTTTGAGCTAACATTTAACCTTAAATTATGACCTTCAACATAAAACATTCTACATATGCCATTAGAGCTAACATTTAACCTTTAATTATGACCTTCACCATGAGTAGAGCTGTCATCGATAGAAGCGATATCAATATATCATTGATATTTTTTTGTCGATCGATTATCGATTCAAATTTTAGAAAATCGATACTTTCACTAATTACTAAAAGCCTAGAAAATACTAAAATATATAGCCCATACAGTACATTAAAATAGTTTGTTTAAAGTTCTTGTGGAAAAGACGAAAATTAACTCAAAACATAAACGGAAACAGGTGCCCTGTCAAAAGGACATGTCTAAAACTTTACCGTGACTACTAAATGGACAGCTACTGTATGGTAGCTGTATTTTCACCTCAGAAAAAACATATTTCTCTGTGTTGAAAATTATATATACAAAACAATCCAATTTTAAAAAAATAATTTGAAAATAAAAATCCAATATATCTTAATCAATTATCATTATATTTAAACTGTCTTGATTTGAGATTCATCATTCACAATTGTCTATATTTTAGACTATGCCCATATCTTAGCAACACTTTAAAATGGCTGAAACATTAAAATAGTTGGGACAAAAAGAAGGCTAAAATTTCAAAGCCAATTCCCATTTGGGAACATTTTGGGTTTGTTGATGAAAAGGGGGTTGTTAACTCAAAATTAATCCCAAGTTAGATTCAATGTATGACTGCCATTTAGCGGCAATACATTTAACTTGAGATCACATCTTGATCGTAAACAATGATTGGGGCAAGGTTAAACACTAGTCAAGTGCCAGCACCGATTGTAATTTAAACAATATAATCAGTAGGCTATTACTTAACAATAAAATAATTTGTAAAATTCCTAACATTTACAAAATAAATAAATAGATATGTATATAAATAAAATAAGCATAACAATAGTTTGACAAATCCTTATTCTGTATGAACAGTAAAATTACAAAAATGTCATAATAAGTCAATAAAATTGTATTTCAATATGATAAATTCCTAATAAATTATAGTTATTTCCAGAAATGTATATTTTCAAAATCAAATTCCTTTGCATCCTTATTATCAACTGTGTTTTTGTATCCGCTGTGTTCAAGTGTCAATACTTTATGACTACAGTCACTATTATTTAACACCTACATACAAAACTCATGCACAAATTTGAATTTTTTTATGTAACATTTATGTTTTTCTACTCTAGTCATGTTAACTAGTCATTCTAGTTAATATACATTTAAGTTTGTATTCTGTATATATATATATATATATATATATATATATATATATATATATATATATATATATATATATATATATATATATATATATATATATATATATATATATATATATATATAGTCAAGTGAGATAGTGATTCCATATTGTAACTTTAGTCATTGAAGTGTTCTGCTTAGTGTGATGGTGTATAGATATGGATAGAGGCCAGTAAATGAATAACCACAGTTTATACACAGTTTTATATTTATTTGATAATTTACATATTTCATAGCACTACAAATATATGCAAAATATGATCAGAGTACATTTATGAACAAAACACATCATAAGTTCATGTAAAGAAGGTGTTTTTTTTTACTAAAATAATTCATACAAATATGAATGGGAAATACAGGTAAATATATCGATATATCGGTGTATCGTCGATGTTTGCAATCCGATATCGATATATCGACGATATGCCTTTGACTGAATCAATGACAGCTCTAACCATGAGTCATAAGAGCTAACATTTAACCTTAAAGTATGACCTTCACCATGAGCAATTAAAGCTAACATTTAACCTTTCAGTATGACTTCACCATGAACCATTAGAGCTAACATTTAACCTTTAAGTATGACCTTCAGAATGAGCCTTTAGAGCTAACATGTAACCTTTAAGTATGACTTTACCATGAACCGTTAGTGCTCACATTTAACCATTAATAATGACTTTCACCATGTGCGATTAGAGCTGAAATTTAACCTTTTAGCATGACCTTCAACATGATCCATTAGAGCTTACATTAAACCTTTCAGTATTACCTTCACAATGAGCCATTAGACCTAATATTTAACCTTTAAGTATAACCTTCACCATGAGCAATTAGAGCTAACATTTAACCTTTCATTATGACCTTCAGCATGAACTGTTAGGACTATCATTTAACCTTAAGGTTTGACCTTCAACATGAGCCATAAGAGCTAACATTTAGCCTTTCAAAATGACCTTCACCATGAGCCATTAGAATTAATATTTAACCTTTAATAATGACCTTCACTATGAGCCATTAGAGGTAACATTTAACCATAAAGTATGAGCTTCACCATCAGCCATTAGAGTTACCATTTTACCTTTAAGTATACTTTCAATATGAGCCATTAGATCTAATATTTAACGTTAAAGTATGACCTTCAGCATGAGCCATTAGACCTAATATTTAACCTTTAAGTATAACCTTCACCATGAGCCATTAGAGATACCATTTTACCTTTAAGTATACTTTCAATATGAGCCATTAGAGCTTACATTAAACCTTTGAGTATGACCTTCAGCATGAGTCATTACAGCTAATATCTAAGCTTTAATTATGACCCTCACCATGAGCCATTAGAGCTAACATTTTACCTTTAAGTATCACTTTCACCATGAGTCATTAGAGCTAACATTTAACCTTTAAGTATGACCTTCACCATAAGCCATTAGAGCTTACATTTAACCTTTAGTTATGGCCTTGATCATGAGCCATTACAGCTAACATTTAACCTTTAAGTATGACCTTCACCATGAGTCATTAGAGCTAATATTTAACCTTTAAGTATAACCTTCACCATGAGCCATTAGAGATACCATTTTACCTTTAAGTATACTTTCAATATGAGCCATTAGAGCTTACATTAAACCTTTGAGTATGACCTTCAGCATGAGTCATTACAGCTAATATCTAAGCTTTAATTATGACCCTCACCATGAGCCATTAGAGCTAACATTTTACCTTTAAGTATCACTTTCACCATGAGTCATTAGAGCTAACATTTAACCTTTAAGTATGACCTTCACCATAGGCCATTAGAGCTAACATTTAACCTTTAATTATGACCTTCACCATGAGCCATTAGAGCTTACATTTAACCTTAAAGTATGACCTTCACCATGAGCCATTAGAGCTAACATTTTACCTTTAAGTATCACTTTCACCATGAGTCATTAGAGCTAACATTTAACCTTTAAGTATGACCTTCAGCATGAGCCATAGAGCTAACATTAAACCTTTAAGTATGACCCTCACCAAAAGCCATTAGAGCTAATATTTAACCTTTAATTATGACCTACACCATGAGCCATTTAAGCTAACATTAACCTTTACATATGACCTTTACCATGAGCCATTAGAAATAAAATTTAACCTTTAATTATGACCTTCGAAATGAGCCATTAGAGCTAACATTTAACCTTTTAGTATGACCTTAAACATGAGCCATTACAGCTAACATTTAACCTTTAAGAATGACCTTCACCATGAGGCATTAGAGCTAACATTTAACCTTAAAGTATGACCTTCAGCATGAGTTATTAGAGCTAACATTTAACCTTTCAGTTTGACCTTCACAATGAGCCATAAGAGCTAACATCTAACCTTTAAGGTGACAACAGACACTTTCCGTGGTACTCACATAAATGTCATTTAAACAAAGTTATTTTAGTAATAATTGTTATTTATTTAATCTTTGTGCATTAAATGTCGTTGATCATCATAAAAAATAACATATTTGAAAAAAATGCCTTTGTAAATGATTGATTTTGAATAAAAATCCTAAAATTTTAAATCGTCATCAAGCTGTAATCAAGCTGCTGATTAATATCAGTTTATAGCCGAAATTTCTTCAATTCTTAACGTGATTTACTGTCCGTCTGGTATCTGTCGCACATGTCACGTGACTATCGGTAAAATTTGAGGCACTCAGTGGGGGGAAATGGAACGCATTTGCGCACCGCTAGCGGGGTATTTAATTGTTTCCTTTTTGAAGTTTATTATTATTATCATCAGCATTATTATTGTATTATACCAGTGTCACTCTGCCTGTGTATTCGTGTATGAAATTCCGTTAAAATATAAAATAAAATAACAAAAAACTAATTAAGCTTCTGACAATCTTTTAAAGTCCATTGTAGATGTACAAGTAAGAACGGGATATTATATATTTTTTCCACCAAATTGATAATGCTTCACATATTTTAATAGAAATAAAAAGTATTACTCGATCATTATGATCTGGCCTTCTTGACTTCTATTATGAATATCATCTATGCACGGCATAGAGATCCCGTTTCTACAGGGATAGAAATAAATTTCATACTTTGTCCCAGATTTATTAGTACTGTGTCCGATTTACTGGCGAACAATTTATTTTCACTGAGAATATATTTTAATATCTTTTTTTATTTATAGAGAAATAATCATCCTTAGACAATCTAAAATAGTTTAGAAATTTGTCAGGGACACCTTACCACAAGTCACATAGGCGTTCACATAAAAAAAATGTTGTCTGTTTTTGTTGTTGTTTTACTTGACATTGTTAGGAAACGAGGTTGAATGTAAAGTAAGCCCTTGAATCCGTACAAAAGTCTATCAACTCAACGTAATATCTATCATATTAACGGGACAGACAAATCAGTTTCACACATTATGGATATTTTAGCAACTACATTTTTAATCAACCCCGTGGTTGTGCGATTTGCCGCTATGCTTAATTATTTATGTTTCATACATTATGTTACGTACATTGGCCGACAATTTCTTAATTTATAAAAAAGGCTAAATGTTGAGATATTCATAAAAGATGTACGTTAGTTGTACGATACATGTATTACGAGACGTATGGACCAGTATGGACCTGTAATTCACGGATATATGGAACTACCGATTTCCCTCATTGATGCCTCAACAGGGGGCGGGGCGTTATCGATAATCGACAGGTTACGCAAATAGCAGATACAAATAGTATAGGTTCCGTTTTAAAACGTTTAAAAACACATTTTTTGGACTAACTGCTTCCAAAATTAAATCACGAATGTGTTCAGAAAAGGTTGATAAATCTACTTAGCAAAAATCTCATTTTAGGTATTTTCAGTGATAATTGACTCCGTTGTCACCTTAAGTACATATGTATGTTTGGTTAAATATTAAACCATGCGTGCGATTATCACTGCTTTACTGTCGCAGGCGGGTTATACATTTACCCCCGAGATATTGTTTAACATCAAAGCATTTTAAAAGTTTGCATAAACTTTCAGCTGAAAACACATGTACACACAAAATTGATTTCGGAGAAAACAGTATTATACTTTACATAATTCAAATTTGTTTGAATTTACATATAATTTCGTACATGTATGACCTTCACCAAGAGCCATTAGAGCTAACATTAAACCTTTAAGCATGACCTTAACCATGAGAGCTAACATTTAACCTTTTATTATGCAGGGATATACCGGACGCAGGATCCTGCATCATATACGCATAAAATGCCATCCTGTACCCACAAAAAATAAATTCTGCGTACACATGGACACTGAAAAATTGTCTAAAGTAACTGTCATTTATATATTTTAAAATAAATACATAAGAAATGTTTAGAGGAACTCTCCTTTCCGTATTTTTACGATATCTAAAGGTGAAGGTCATGGGAAACACCAACTGGTATCTAAAGTAACGTGTCAGTTAATTGGCTAGTAAATGTCGGCATTTAAAATACCAACCAATCATTAGTGAGCACCCACGTGTCCCCGATATTATTATCAGTGGGAGCGCTCGGTTGTTACCGTTATCTATGACAGAACTTTCGGTTTAAACAATGGCAAAACAGGCTGACTTAAGAAGTTTTTGGGTGGGGGTAGAAAATTGTCTGGGAGTGGACCCTCAAAATTTTGTGGTGGACCCCTGTTTTATAGATCCTGCGTCCAATGGACTCCTAATATAAAAAGGGTTGGTAAATCCCTTATAATGATCTTCAACATGTGCCATTAGAGCAAACATTTAACCTTTAATTATGACCTTCACCATGAGCCATTACAGCTAATATTTAACCTTTAATTATGACCTTTACCTTCATTTATGACCTTTTTTAAATAAAAAAACAGACTATTTTTGTAGCAGATATATAGCTTTACACACTTCATACCTATTGTACATGGAATGAACCTGGTTGCCTTTCCAGTTAATTGACTAGATACTAAAATTTAATACTTTTGTCACAAGAACTTGAATTATCAAGTTTTTTCTTTACACTTAACATAGTATCTTTATCTTCTTTAATGCAAAAATGCAGATACAGGTGTGACATACATCATTTAGAAAATAAGCAGAAGGAAATTTGTTTTACCTTTTTCTGTTCTGAAACAAGAGTCTCCAAGACGCCAAGTTTCTTTTTCAATTCTGCATTCTCAAGTTTTTCGTCATTTTCTCTGGACATCTTGGCTTCAAGTTCTAATAGCTTCTTCTTCAGGGCAGAACTAGTTTTCTTTAGTTCTGCAAGTTCTTTTTCATTTTCCAGTTTCCCCTTCTTTTCATCAGACATTTTAGCTTCAAGATCTATTAGCTTCTTCTTCAGATCATCATATTCTTCTTTAGTTGCAGCACTTTCTGTTGATTTCAAAACTTTTGCCATTTCTTCTTTGATTTGCCTAAGAATCTCTTCAAAACTTTCAGTCGTAATAATAAAATCTTTGTTCTTCAGCTGATAAAAAAAACAGTTTTGTTATATTTTCTATTATAAAAAATGCAGCTATGTAATTTATAATATTGACTCTTCTATACAACATATAATATATAAGGTCAAACTTTATTTCAAATTATCCCAATTGTTCTATTATTTAAACTCTCATACTTTGTTCTTAAATCCCTTTTTAAGGCAGTATACACTAACCTATGTACTTATCTGATTCTAAGACATTACTATTTTCTCACCTTTTTCTTATCTGTTTCATTGTAGCCTATGGGGTTAGCCAAAAATGAAGAGTTTTAGAAGTTTTCAGAATTCTTAATATTTCTCACTTTCTTAATTTCACACTTAAGGGTTGGACATGCATGACATGTTGAGGTTCTAATAGGGGTCAAGATATATGTGGGTCACAGATAATTAGAGATACTATCATACAAACATATTGCAGGTTTTATTATCTCAAGTAAAATATCCTTCATACGCTTTTTCAATTTTCAGATATTTAAAGTTAATTTTTTTTTTGATATAATCCAAACTTTTCCACAATATCAGAACTTAGAATTCCTCAATTTCAGAGGTAAGAATTATAAAGAATTTCGGGACCCTGAACATTGCAAACTAAAATCTTTATCATTATAGTTTAACTTTTGATAGGTATATATGTATTTTATGTGTCTTTATCAATCAACTTATGGGAAGTATCATTTTGAATTTGACTATAACTTCAAATTATATTGCTTCAAATTCTGTTCCCAAAATTTTGTCCTGAATTTAGTGGGCTGTTTTCTTAAATCATTATAAGTTGACTCAATAAAGATTTCAAACTGATATAATTCATTATTTACACTTACATCTTGAAGTTTCATCACTGCTATCTGGGCATCTGATCGGTGTAATAGCTCTTTACCATCTTGTAAAACTGCTATCATATCGTCTAAGTAAGTATTTGCCTCACTTTCTTCTAATTCCATGCTGCTTGAGTGAAAGATAGCATTTCTATAGTGACGAACCTATTGAATAAAAAACACAGTTTCAACATTATTATATGCATAAATATACAGTGTTAAGCAAATCAAAATTGTTTTGTAGAAAATTGTTTGGGTAATTACCTACATATAAGATGCGATCATGAATTATACAGGCATTTTTCATATATTTTACAAAAATGTCACATGGCAAATTTGGGATAATTGTGTCTTAATTTTCTATTCGAACAAGAGCCAGTTGAACCGGGTGATGCTCCCCAAATAGGTTTTGGCAACAGAAAGGTATACCTCTTGTAGTGTCAGAGTTATTTTACAGACAAAGTTCAAAGTGTAAAAACAACCCAAATATTGCGCACAACACATTGTCTCAATATGGCGATCATTTCTGTGAAAAAGTTGGAAAATCCGACTTCAAATAACAAAGTTATGGGCTGGACACGATTTTGCTGCAAGGTCATGCTGTGACCTTCACCTTCAAGGTAGCGCCCAAATGTTGCGCATGACACGTCGTCTAAATATGGTGATCATTTCTGTTAAATAGTTGTTAAATCAGACTTAAAATAACGAAGTTATGGGCTGGACAGGATTTTCCTGCAAGGTCATGCTGTGACATTCACCTTCAAGGTAACCACCCAAATGATGCCCACGACACATTATCTCAATATAGTGATCATTTCTGTGAAATAGTTTTAAAATCTGACTTCAAAGAACAAAATTATGCGCCAGACACGATTTTGCTGCAAGGACATGCTGTGACCTTGACTTTCAAGGTAGCGACCCAAATGTTACATGCGAAACGTTGATTCAATATGGTGATCATCTCTGTGAAATAGTTGTTAAATTCGACTTCAAGTAACGAAGTTATGGGCCGGACAATATTTTGCTGCAAGGTCATGCTGTGACCTTGAACTTCAGGGTAGCGACCCAAATGTTGTGTGTGACACGTGGTCTCAATATGGTGATCATTTCTGTGAAATTGTTGTAAAATCCGACTTCAAATAACAAAGTTATTGGGTGGACATGAATTTGGGACGTATGTACGTCCGGACGGACATACCATTGTTACTTTTGATGTTTATGAAACACCACCTGGACCAAAGTCCATAAGCAAAATAAGCTCATAAAAACAAAAAAATAGTTCTTAATTTGAATTTTATGAGTTTTTGTTCTTTATTTAACTACGGAATGAAGCTCTAATCAAATGTTTGCTCGGACTGACATGCGGACTGACGGATATTCTCAAAGTAATTATGTGGCTACTCTATTGTTCTCTCTATTGTTCTTTTTAGCCACACAAAAGAAAATAGCCACATAAAAGCATTACGGAATGAACTAGACCTATCACTGAAGGTGGTTAATACCCCACCAGCAACTTTGACTTTTGAAAAAATAAGTTGTCTGAAGAAAAATTTGAAATAAACCTACAGAAAATAAAGTACCATCAGCACTGTGTACAAAGAATTATTTCAATTTATTGCAATCCCAACTAGGATCTTGATATGAGCTTGTTAATACACCAAGTTTGATAACAATATCTCATTCCTAACCCTAGTAATTGTCTGGAAACCATTTTTCTATTTTTAGTAACTGTGACCTTGAACCCAGGGAGTCCAAATGCAATACCAAGCGCGGTCTTCATGTAAGCTTGCTAAACACCAAGTTTGATTACAATATCTCATTCCAAACTTTAGTTATTGTCCGGAAACCATTTTTCTATTTTTAGTAACGGTGACCTTGACCTTGGCCCAAGGGGGGTCCAGATGCAATACCAACCAGGGTCTTCATATAAGCTTGCTATACACCAACTTTGATTACAATATCTCATTCCTAACTTAAATTATTGTCCGGAAACCATTTTTCTATTTTTAGTAACGATGACCTTGACCTTGGCCACAGGGGGTCCAGATGCAATACCAATCGGGGTCTTCATATAAGCTTGCTGTACACCAAGTTTGATTACAATATCTCATTCCTAACTTTAGTTATTGTCCGGAAACCATTTTTCTATTTTTAGTAACGGTGACCTTGACCTTGGCCCCAGGGGGTCCAGATGCAATACCAACAGGGGTCTTCATATAAGCTTGCTGTACACCAAGTTTGATTACAATATCTCATTCCTAACTTTAGTTATTGTCCAGAAACCATTTTCTATTTTTAGTAACGGTGACCTTGACCTTGGCCCCAGGGGTTCCAGATGCGTTACCAACCGGGGTCTTCATATAAGCTTGCTGTACACCAAGTTTGATTACAATATCTCATTCCTAACTTAAGTTATTGTCAGGGAAACCATTTTTCTATTTTTAGTAATGGTGACCTTGACCTTGCCCCCAGGGTGTCCAGATGCAATACCAACCGGGGTCTTCATATAAGCTTGCTATATACTAAGTTTGATTACAATATCTCATTCCTAACTTTAGTTATTTTACAGAAACCATTTTTCTATTTTTGGTAACGGTGACCTTGACCTTGGCCCCAGGGGGTCCAAATGCAATACCAACTGGGGTTTCCACATAAGGTTGCTATATACCAAGTTTGATTACAATACCTCACTCCAAACTCTAGTCATCGTCTGGAAACCATGATGTGGACCGACCGACGGAATGACCAACCGGCCGACAAGCTGACTCCTATATACCCCCCCCTAAACTTCGTTGTTTGTGGGGGGTATAATGACATCAAAGAGGAAGAACAGTTACCTATTGTCACTCTAGTCATATAATAACTGTCCTGTGAGTGCAGACTGACGGACGGACAACCCGGCGACTATGTGCTCCCCCGAAATTTTTGTGAGTATAAAAAAATTATGAAATTTATCATTTCGGAAAATATGCCAGCATTCAAGATGTTCAAATTCTTTTAACAAAGCTTAATAAATCTTATTGAAACTGAAATTAAAACATATCGGCAATTTTCAGAACCTCCACACCAAGTACAAAAGGTGGTACCTTTGAAACCATTGAAGAAGACTGGTAAATTTGTATACTTTTGTTGTGAATCTTTAGATTTTCATTTTCAATTTTACTTTGGATGCTGAATATACAGCATTTACATTACAATACAGCTAATAAAAGATAAACAAGACACTTTATTAATAATTTACCTTTGTAAAAAGATTGTTTGTTACTGTGACATCACATCCAATGTGGCTATGAAAATACTGGTTATTTATCATTAGATGTAATAACCCAGTACAATCAGTTTCACCAGCAGATTGTTTCTGCTCGTACCCGGGAGCATTTATAAAACACTTACAAATGCTCCAAGGATCTGTCACCCACTGTAGAGCATCGCTGTTTTTCCAGTTAGGTGCAGGTGGCGTGGAGGCATGATGCTGCACAATAAAATCATAGATGGCGCCACATATGTTGTTCGGACAAGCAATTTTGCCCTTACAGCAACAGCTGCATTTTACTTGCCCAAGAGGACAAACTTTGTTTCCAGCATTCGCAGGAACTGGCTTATGGTCTGGCTTGAGAGTTTCAACTCGACAGCCCCCACATGTCACAGTTGATAGTAGTGATTTTGTAGACCGAATGTTTTGTAAGATATCGTTATGTTGTTGGTCAGCTATGTCATTACAGAATGGTACCAGTCCCTCCTTTAAATATCCAAGTCCTAAACCAGCCTTTACCCACTGTCTGTATTTTTCCTTCTCTAAATGAAGTTGATGTGCCATTCTGATACTCTATCAATATCTAAACAAACAAAACAAAAAGATTATGTTTGATTTTATATATAAATAAGTAAATAAGGTCTTGGATTGAATTTAAAGTTCAAAATATTGAATAAATATGATATGCAATCAATTTCAACCATTATGGGGATTTCTTTTCAACAGACGATATCTCCAGTTGATATTAAACTAAGAGAAGTACATGTATGTGTTTGATTCATTGTGACCATTATATGAGCTAGACTTTTGCATCCATCTTAACGTATTTTGGTATTAAATAGAAAGACAGTACATACCAATAGGAGGGCCATGATGGCCCTGAAATTGCTCACCTCAGTGATTTTTCTCGCTTAATTGGGAAGAAGCCTTAGCCTCTTGATTTTGGGAAAAATTATCGCTAAAATTGCTAATTTGGGAAGAAAAAAGCATGTTTCAGTTCAGATTTTTGGGAAAACTGCATGATTTTAAAGAAAATTTCAATTGGGAAGAGGCCTTTTTTCGGAGTCTGTTATATAAGTAGGAAAATCACTGCACCTGTATATAAAAACTATCAATGACAAGAAACGAGTAATAGTGTTACAAGCTATAAACAAATTAAAGCAGATATAAAATCTAAATCTTTAACTGATAACACAAAGTTCATATATGTATCTGAAATAGTGTGTGGGTAAACTAGAAATGTGTCCATAGGACACGGTGCCCCCACCGCGACACTGTTTTGTCAATCTTTTTTACTAAGTCAAGGGAAATAACTCTACAAATACTGGATAAATCCACAAGGGAAACCCCAGGTGCAAATCTAAAATATGCTGAGCAACCTGCCATAAGGTTTATTGACTATGTCAAATCCTTTTTTGAGAAACTTGCGACACAAGTTGAAAATTGCAAAAATTTTCTAAGTGAAGGGCAATAACTCTAAAAATACTAAATAAATCCAGACTAAAATACCTGGTGCACAACTGCACATGCTAATCAATATTCCTGTAAAGTTACATGACTCTAGGTCAAATACTTTTTGAGTTATGTGCGACACAAGTTGAAAATTGCAAAATTTTACTAAGTCAAGGGCAATAACTCAAAAAATACTAAAAATATGCACACGAAAATACCCAGATGCACAACTACACATGCTGATCAACATTCCTGTAAAATTTCATGACTGTAGGTCAAATAATTTTTGAGTTACATGCGACACAAGTTGAAAATTGCAAAATTTTACTAAGTCAAGGGCAATAACTCTGAAAATATTAAAAAATATCTAGACCAAAATAACCAGGTGCACAACTACATATGCTGATCAACATTCCTGTAAAGTTTCATGACTCTAGGTCAAATACTTTTTGAGTTCTGTGCGACACAAAAGTGAACGGACGGACAGACGGACGTACGGACGGACAAGGGTAAATCTAAATGCCCGCCACTAACGTGGGGGCACAAAAACATAAGTGTTTTTAATATATATACATGTAAAGAAAATCAATGACCCCCGCCCCTGGACAGGGCCAAATTGACCCCTGGGCCTTTTTTAACAAACTTGGTAGACACTCACTAAAAATGTTTTCAAGCTAAATATCTAAGCTCTAGGCACTAGCTCTTTTGGGTTTATAAAAGAGGATTTTTTTAAGTTTTTTACTATACACGAATAAGGAAAATCAATGAGCCCCGTGGCAGGGCTAATTTTAACCACAGGGCTTTTACTTTAAAAACTGTGTAGAACCAATTAAAAAAAGTTTCATGCTAAATATCTAAGATTTAGCCCTTTTGGGTTTTTTAAAAGATGATTTTTAGGTTTTTACTATACATGTATACATAAAAGGGAAAATAATGACCCCTGTGGCTGGGCCATTATTTTGACCCCTGGGCTATTATTTGAACAAACTAGGTTGACACTCACTAGAGGATGTTTTATGCTAAATATCTAAGCTCTAGCTCTTTGGGTTTTTTAAAGAAGATTTTTATAAGAATTTCTTTCGGTTGCCATGGCAACAGCGTTCTGCATGGAATTAAATTCTTTGAAACATTTTCAAAGGTCACTCCTGTGAGGTTTGGATGAAAAATGGCTCAGTGATTAATGAGGAGATGTTGTTAAAAGTAAAAGTTTACAGACGATGTCCGGACAGCCGGACGAAAAGCAATCACAAAAGTTCACCTTTGTAACTTAGTGACAGATGAGCTAAAAAGTAGGGTGTAATCGATTCAATCGATATCGGTGTATCAACAATCTTTGTTATCCGATTTGATATCGATTCCATCTTTAAATATATCGAATGCACACATATTTCAAGCTTAAAAGACACTTCAGCAAACATGTTTTATAGTACAGATAGACCAAACGTCAAAATAAAAGCGAAATATAAAGTTATGGAAGCCAGAACTAACATATTCGAAACTTTTTTTTTTCTAAAACGGAAATCAACACCAGAGTTACCTCCCAGTGTCTCTAACCAAAGCTGCCGAATTTCATTGTAAATCCCGAATGTCTGCTGAGAGGGGTTTAAGACCCCCCAATTCAGATGTTTAAAAGGGAAAATGCCAAGAATTTTGTTTTAGTGTTTCTTTGTAAAAATTATGATTGCAAATGTTAAACATTAATAATTATTCCGGTTCTAAACACTATAATTTTGCCAATTTAATCTCGGCTTAGTAATAGAACGGCAAGGACGGGATTAAGCATAATCCTTAACTACGTAATTAGCAACAACAACAAAAGTAAAATGGAAAAGGCTTTTAACATTTATAGTTACTAGTCATTTGTTGTCATTAAAAGTTAAAATTGATAAAAGAAACAAATTGTTCACTTTTCATAGTTTATTTATTTTTTAAATGTGTTTAAATGTAACTGCATATTAAAACAAATTAAAAAGACTTGAAAGCTTAATTTTGCCTGGCAATCAATATATCGCTGTTATCCGCCGATAATTCATTACCGATATACGATATAAAAATCGCTTATCGATGACACCCCTACAAAAAGAGAGCTAAACATATAAGCTGGATACAGGGAATTTTTGAAAGCAGAGTAGAGGTGTAACAATTCAACGATAACATCGCGATCTGCCCTGTCTTTGATGCATGCATTCATATTTGGAATTATTAAATTCCAATATATCCGGATGCAATACATATTTCACCACCTGACGCATTGATATAGCGTGAAAGTATCGCAATACACTACATGTATATTATTTATGATATAATTGAAAAAAAATAACCTTTTTTAATTCCTTAAAAGTAAAAAGTAAAAAAATCCTTAAAAGTAATTTAAGTAAATAGTTGAAAGATTCAAAACTTTGAAAACAAGTTATAATAACAAGTGGAGAGTTTATTGTTTGTTATTGTAATAGTTTTATTTATATTCATAATTTATGCTGTAAACAAATGACAAAGTTTTTTATATAGATAATGTCTCTGTCAGTGAAAGTCAGTATTGTGATAAGTATTGCATTGCAAATATAAAAATACAAGTTTATCTATGTTTCTTGTTTTCTTCAAAATTTGGTGTTATTGTTCATTCATTCCAGTAATCTTGGAACAAATACTGGACGGGATCTGTCTTCCCTGGACCAAATAAAATTCAGGAAAATAAAAAAAATACAATTCATTTTGGTATATGAGATATATATGACCTAGGCCTGCTTATATGATAAAATAAATTGATCATGATTATTAGAATATTTACAGAAATTTTTACAACTTTTCAATAAACTAACAATACTTATAAAACATGCTGTGGTATTTCTCTTATTGTTATGAAGCAATAAGGTTCAACCAGTACTACATGTAAATTTGTTTATCTAGACCAATGAAAGTCATTAGTTTTCACAACCTTTGAAGATATTTCCGAAAGCTTTAGCAAGGTCTCAAGACTTGTTCCTAAGCTTTGCTCATTCAAGAAATGACGCCAACTCAACTTGAAATGGTGCGAAAACTAATGGTTTATGCACTGGAAGTAAGCATTTCCAATATGAGCCATTCCATCTAATAGACATTATAAATGAATAATTCTGTGATTTATTCTAATTGCTAAATAAGACTATATTCTTGATATAAATTATTGATGGAAAGCATTAAATTGTTTCTTTTGTCATAAACTAAGTTGAACATTGAAATCTTTTTATTATTACGTGACAGTCGAAACAAACATGAATGGCACAAAAACAAATTCTAATATAAAGTAAACTTGTCAAAGAATCAAAATTTTACGTTATTGTGTTGTATTGTGTTTCACAATATCAGATGTGAATAAAATGTATTTTCTCATTTCTGTATCATATTGTTTAATAAAGAATTTCAATTTTAGCAGAGTAACCGTCTTATATTTTTAACAAACAATGGCATGTAATATGCCAACAATTGGTCAATTATCATCTGTATAATATCCAACTCAATGTTGTTATTTATAATATCCTAAAAAAATATTCAAGATTAATCAATAAACTGCATTAAGTATAGGTTAAAGTTTATTCCTACTATCCTAGGTATTCACTGTCCGCCCTGTCCAAAAATATGGTCTGGCCCTCCCAAACATATGGTCTGTCATGGTACGGTCGCCCTGTCTGTAATTCGTTAATGCATACACATTAGGTTTGTTTTTTCCCTTTAAATTAAACGCGAGGGAAATCAAAATTTTTTTTCCAATTAAAATTTTCCCCCCGGATGAGCCCTGATTCATAAATTAAATTCTAAAAATAAAATTTGTGGAATAAAGGGGGCTTTTTATACAGTTTTTTCCAAAGTGTGAATGCATTTTTACGAAAACCCTTCCTGGTAATGGGGGGCCCCAACCTTTCAAATTTCCCTTTTTTATTTCGGGGGAAGTTTAAAAAAACGGGCCCCCGAACGGGTTCCCGGGGTTTTGGGTTGCCCGGCTTAGGGCCCTTTCGTGTACATTTTAAAGAAAATCCCAAAAAAAAAAACAAATTTTTAAAAAAATATTTGAAATCTATACCTTTTCAAAGGGAAATTTTCCCCGTGTCCCGTTCTTTGTCGGGGGGGGGGCCCATTTACCCAATGTAAAAAAAT